AGAAAAGGGATCCATAAAAGGTAGAGAGCATCAGACTAGGGCAGGCTCTGCTAAAAAGAGCTCATGCAATAACAGTTCCTGTTTTTGAACTTGCTACTTGCCCAGTGTATATATCAACAACCCACTGACACAATCCCATATCAAAACCCTGCCTTCTCTACGGTTGAAACACATCCCAGTATCGCCCACTTCTCACCTGCCCCCAGAGTCTCGATTCCCATCTGCAGTGTTCCCGCAGCCTCCCGGCCGGAAACAAACCTGCTCCGTGCTGCTCCTTTGCCCCTCGGGCTCCACAGAATATGCTCCACTCAGCACCCAGAATAATTCATTTAATTCGGGCATCATGGTTTCACTCCTGTTCAAAACCCTCCAAACCTTTCCATATTGCTGGGAGTAAAAACGTCACAGTTTTTAAAGGGCCCACCAAATGTCATCTCTAGGATCCAGTCCTAGCTGTTTTTACAACTACACTTCCTGCTAGAATTATCTCCTTGAAGTTCATTAAATGACTGAAGCCTGTTGCAGAGCTTTGCTGCCACCCTGTCTGCCTGGGTTACTAGTCCCCCGCCAGTCACCCAGCCTGCTCTCTTGATTTCTTAAGCCTATGCTGCCACCCTTTTAAAGAGACCCTCTCCTGCCCACAGTATACAAAATACTAACCCCCAAAGAGTGGCCGAATGTGATGTCATCCCTCCACCCCATGGGGCACTAGGCAGCTGCGCAGAAGGAATGAAGGTGATTTCTATGAAGTGACAGAGAATGATTTTCCAGACACATGGTTAATTGACAAAAGCAAGGTATAAAGAGTATATAGTGTATGTTGCCTGCTGTTTAAGAAAAGGACTTAGAAATAAACATATGTATTGGTTTATGTCAGCAAACAAAAACAAGAAGGCAAAAGAGAAACAGATTCTATGCTATAGGGGGAGTGGAGGGAGACCATAGAATTTCACTGAGCATATTATTTTCTACGGCTGTGATTTGGATGTTAGTGTATAACATATTTAAAAATCAAAGCAAGGGGAAAAAACCCGAAGTTGAATAAACAAACCAATTAATGCAACTTATATACAAATTGATAACATAATCACACAGAAGGAAAAAAAAAGGTTGACTCAAGTACCTTTAAACTCCAGTATTCTGTGCATATCCAGTGGGGTACATGGGAAAATAAAAAGGACAGCAAAGAAATCCTGAACTGTATTTAGTAACGTCTGTGCTTGGTCATGGTAATGGGACAGCAATTAGGACACTATTTTGCGTTTAACATAAAATAGAAAAATATACGGATGCTACTAAACTTCAGTACATTTCCACATAAATCAGGAAAAGATGTTGATGCTAAGCTTCAGTGTATTTTCAAGGTGGAGAAGCAAAATACACAGATGGAAGGGAGGAGAAGGAAGAAGAATCGAATGACTGGATTAGCCTGAGCCGTAACACAATAACCCCACGACTCTGCGTAAACTCTGTTTCCCAGCTCTGGCAACAGGCAGCGCCTGGAACCAGGAGCTCAGCACTTTGAGCACAACCAGCACTCAGAGCGTTTCTGAATACCACCCCCACTAAAAGGAACAAGAAAATATCTGATTCCAAGGGTGAGGCAGGAATGGTAAGAAAGGAGCCCAGAACTTGTTTCTGTGCCAGAAAAAAAAAGGAAGCGCTCAAAAATTCTTGGAAACAGGGCAAAAGGGAGCTAAAGCCTGTAGGGGATCCCACTTGCAGATTTGGGATCACTGAACATCAAAATGGAACACACAGGAATAATGCCTTAGAAAACATCCATGAGTCCATACTAATAATAAGCCAATGAAATGAAAGTAAGCTCTTCATTACTGAAGAATGTCAATAATGTACCCTGGCTGGTGTAGCTCAGTGGATTGAGCGCAGGCCTGCGAAGCAAAGGGTCACTGGTTCAATTCCCAGTCGGGGCACATGCCTGGGTTGTGGGCCAGGTCCCCCAATAGGGGACACATAAGAGGCAACCACACATTGATGTTTCTCTCTTTCTCTTTCTCCTTCCCTTCTCTCTAAAAATAAAATAAAATCTTTAAAATTTGTCAATAATTTATCAAGAAAATTGCCATCTACAAATAGTGATAATTGACTCAGGGAAGAATGGCCACCGGACGATAAACCATTGCATGAAAGATTGTTGGGGAACAGGATAATCACACAATCTCCAAGTGTCACTTAATAAATCATGTACTGCTTACGAAGGGGGGAGATGCCTCTACAATAAAGAAAGCTGATGAGCCTCACCTGGACCAAATAACTGAAGTTAACATCTCCAGTAATGAGACAACTGGGCTGCATCTGCCACCCACGAGATGCACCTACAAAAACCTGTCCCACAAAATGTCCCATCATAGACATGAGGAAACAGACAATCCAGATTGAGAGACATTGTATCAAACAACAGACCCTTCAAAACCACTGATGTCACAAAAGACACACACACACACACACAAAGTTAACCACAAGTTTTAGGTTAAAGGGGATTAAAGAGGCATGACTTTCCAATGCGGCAGGAGCTGTGTCTGGCTTCCGGGCTCTATGACAAGACACCGGTCTTCCTAGAAGACACATGATGAAATATTTGGAGGAGCCGCAACCCTCCAATGGTTTAGCATAAACAAATGTTAAGTATATGCATGTAGGTGCAAAAGGAGAAGTGAACCAAAAGTGACGAAATGTTCCTGTACTATTTTTGGCAGCTCTTCTACACATTTTAAATGTTCCCAAGTTTTTAACACTTAAAAGAAAATTTTAACCACTTCCCCTCCCCTTTCTTCTGCGTTACCAATCAGTAACTGAACCCCCTACCTACCTAGTTACTCATTTAGCTACTTACTGTCTTCCCCACCTTAACATAAGCTTCCCAAAGGCAGGAAGGAGTCTGCTCGGTGCTGCATCCTCAGGCCCTTGTACAGGGTCTGACCCAGGGCTGACCCTCAAGTATTTATTGAATGACTGATGTTCACAATTATTCTATGAAATAGATACTGTTATTATCCCTTCTCTCACATGAGTGGTTTTCCCTCTCTCTCTTCAAAGGCAAAGATACCGAGGCACACAGAAGTGTGGTAACTTTAAAGAAGTTATGACTTGAGTGAGGGGTGGGGCCGGGGTCTGAAGCCAGGCATCTGACACTAGAGCTGGTGCTGTCAGTCACTGGCAGGCAGCTCCCCCAGTGAGGCAGGTTCCACCCCAAAGGGCTCACCTTCTGTGGGGTACACCATCCATTCGGCCTTGTCTGGGCGTGGCCTATTCAGAGCAGGTGACATTCATGCTTGCTGAATGACATGATCTCTGAATGATACATGAACTAGGTGGCAGATGCCACTGTGACAGAACTGTTCAGAGAATAGTTGCTGGAGGATATGGAACTTGAGTAAACTGGGTTTTCAATTGAGGGGACCATGGGTTCAGGCAATGGTCAGCAAAGGTGCATCTGGAACTGGGAAGAGATCAGCTCTGTTGGTGTCTCTCCCCATGTCCTGTAGCCCGTCCCCCCTGGCCCCCTGCATGAGAGAGCCTCCCAGCTCCTTATGCCCTGTGATGGTCTCTGCCCTCAGTTCCTCCTCTCTGCTCCTGCCAGATTATTCTTCCTGAGTGCATGGTTCTGGGCCTGACAGGCTCCAGAACAATTCTTTGCCTGGAGAAGAGAATCCAAACTCCCAAAGGGGACATTTAGGGCGTTGTGCAGGGCCTCCAGCTCGAGTGGACACACTTCCTTTGCAGTGACACCAAGTGATTCTGTGTTGCCCAATCTCCCTCCGTAGACTGTGCGGCCCTGTCTTCCTTACCTGCTCTCCTCCTCCTGGAATCTTGCCCCACATCTTGGCACGCCCACAAACCAGCTGTCGTGAAGTCCGTTTTACAAAAGATATGTGAAGTGAGGCCATCGGCTAAGGACACTTCTTTGCCCTCTCCTGCCATGTACCCCACACACATTAAACACATCACGTGTAACCTCTCTTACATTTACTTCTGTGTCTTATCAAGGAGGTACTCTGAGCAGAGTTCAGCCTCTCCCCCTAGGTTGTACTCCTCAGATGAAGGTACCTGTCAGGCACACCATGGATGCTGAATTCAGCATCCGGAGATGGAAGGTTGACCGGATAGGAAGTGCTAAGGAGACCCTGATGGGAAACCCCAAAGAATACAGAGAAGCTAACTAAGGGAGTTATTACTATGCTCCTGGGGTTGGGCTATCACTTAACTAGGGGCCTGTGTGTGGAAGGGTTTATGAGGGTGGGGAGATAAAAATGGGCGCAGTGAAACCAATGTTAGGGGGCTTTTGTGACGATTAGAAGAAAGGTGATAGAGTTAAGGGCAGCTCTAGACACACGGTAGTTCTTTTACGCGTTGAAGCAGGAGGAAAGGCGCACCTGCTGCCCTACTGAGAATTCTTTCTGTGAGAACTTAGCCTATGGACACTTCTTTCCGCCCTTTCCCCGGCCCACCTCTGAGGGGCAGGCCTGCAACGCCGCTGGGAGAGGAGCGGCGCGCCTCTGCCAAACTAGTTGTTGGGCAGGTGGGTCCGTGTCTCCTGCCCGAGTGACTGAGGCACGAGTAACTCAGACTGTAATCTGAGAAAAAGGCACGCCCTTCCGGGGAACACTCGTGGGAAGGGGAGCCGCGTGGGGGGCGGCGGGGCTTAAAAAGAACTCCAGAGAAAGTAAGGAATCAGCGCAGGCTCGGGTGAACGAGCTGGAGTCGTTCCGGCTCCTTCCCAAACGCGATCCCGGCGCCTGACGTCCAAGTTGCTGCCAGCCAATCCACCCAAGGGGAACCTGCAGATGCAGTGACAGCTCTCTCTCCCAGACAAAGTCCCCTCGCTGCGTTTTTACACACTGTCACTCTTCCCTTAGCCCGAACTCAACTTGCAGTGGCCTCGGGCCACACCCTTCCACCCGGCCCCAAAGTCCTGAGACCTCGGACATCCCAGCGCCCGCCTAGTCCCCGCGGGGACTCCGGGGAAGGCCGCCACTCACCGAACAGGAGCAAGAGGATGGCCAGTTTGACCACCGCTTCTGCTGCGGTCCGCCGCGAGACCCTGACCTTGCCCATGGCGCCTCCAGAGCGCCAATGCCTGGGCGCCGTAGCAGCCCCAGGACCTTCCCGCCCTGACCTCCTTCTCCCCGCCCTCGCCCTCGCCCTCGCCCCGCCCTCCACGCCCCGCCCCGCCCCTCCCCCATTCCGTCTGGTCCCGTCGCGCTCGTAGCCCACAGCGTCAGTCTACAACACAGGGCGGAGTCCCCGTTCCCTCGCGCATGCGCGGTCGCGCGCGTGACCTCTCGCGCTTTCCCTTGGTCTCGGAGCTGGACGGTTCCCTCCCCCAAAGCTACCCAACACTCTGCTGGGCCTTGAGGGACAGCAGAACTCTTCCGATGGGCAGGGAGGCTCTGAAAAACTTTATTCCTTCAGTGCTTTCTAGCAGCCGGCGCTGCGCGGAGCCTACTTTTCCTGCCAGTGACTCTTGGCTAACGCGACCAGCGACTTGCAGTCTCTTGAAGCCACGCTTTCCTCAAGTGTTACAATGAAACGGGAAATGCCAAACAGCCGCTAGGATGAGTGGGGTTACCGGTGCAGCACCTTACACTCCATTCTCTGCTCGTTCAAGTGCATGCCACCTTTTCCTTCAGCCTGACCCCCAATCCCAGCACGCCCTTCAGGGGGGCTGGGATTTCGACCCTGTAGTTTCTCCCTTCTCAGTTTCCCTCTTGACTCTTTCCCTCCACTTCAGCTGTGGATTTTTCTCGGGCTGAGGGGTCACATTTGTTGGCTTACCGTTAGGCCCGCAAAAATCTCCACCGCGTGGGCAGGACAAGCACTTGGAATGCTCGCTCCCTCTGTTAGCCTTTAGGTTGGCCGTGCGCTCCCCTCGAATCCACCAGATCCCAGAGCAGATCACTCCTAGCTGCTCGCGTCAGCCTCCCTGGCTGCCCCTTTTCTTTGGGAGAGAGACGCCAGAATTGCCCTTGTGCAAGGAGGGAGTTGAAGGAACTCTCCCAGGAACAGGAGCCCTGATGTCCAAATAAACGCCAATGTGTTGCCAGCTGTGAACCCGAGGGGAAGTGTGCTTAGCTGTGCTTAGCGCTGCTGGCTTCTCCATCGTGGTCAGGTGGGGCCCCCAAACCACACAAGACACTTGAATTAGACTGTTAGAATTCATGAATTATTTCTCAAATTCCATAAATTTTTTTAAAATTATTGATTGATTTTAGAGATGGGGGGAGAGAGAGACAGGATTTACTTGTTGCTCCACTTGCTGATTCATTCATTGGCTGATTCTGGTTTGTGCCCTGCGGAGGGATGGAACCCGCCACCTTGGCATATGGGGCCTGTGCTCTAACGGAGGGAGCTGCCTGGCCAGGGCCTCAGAGTGTTATTTGTGACAGTGAAACTTGTTAGAAGCCAGATGGGCAGAGTGTGCCCTGTCCTGGGCCCAGAGAGCGAGTCCTTTGGGTCTGGTTCTGAGAAGCCACCCCCCACCCCTGGGGTTGGGAAGTGGTGGTGGGTTTAACGTCATTATACTGTGGGAGACCCGTTAGACTGGTTCCTGCTGCATGAGAGTCAAATGTCTGGGACCTGCTGCCTAGCACATCTGGTTTCCTTCTTTGCCTCCCGGTAGTGCTGAGCGCCCCAGACACAGTCCTGATTGAAAGGAACTTGGGGAAGAGAATCGCCCCTCAAACTGGAGGTGGGCCTCCCACGCTGTCCACCACCCTGCATACCCCAGCCCCCCCTTCATCCCCCAATCTCCCGCAGTGGCCTCCTCAGCAGCCCTGTCATCCTGTCCTGGCAGAGATTTACCACACCACCTTTGACTGGCCCCCTGCATCTGAAGGCCAGAACCACCTGATGGTGCCAGCAGGCATCTCGGAGCTGGAGACGGCATGGGCTCTGCTGGAGCATCACAGGAACGTGGTCAAGACCCTCCCCTCGGACCCCCACATCCTGATGCGCATCGGTCCTGCCCAGCCGCATGTGGACATTCAGTACCAGGGCAGTGGGCTCACCCGCACTGAGATCTTCCTTGTCCCACTGCCACTTAATCTGGCGGCACCTGGCATCCAGGACGTGCCTTGGACCCTGGGAGTCCCTGAGGGGTGGGGTCCCTGGGGCGCCCCACTCAGAGACCCTGGGATAACCTCATACATTGTGTGTGGTGGGCAGGTTTGACCGTGAGGGGGCAGGGTGAGGAGAGGCGAGGGCCCCAGTGGGAGGGGCCAGCAGCACGTTTTGTCCTCAGGGTGAGAGAGAGGGGCAGACAATCTATAAAAACTGAAATACAGCAACAACCCCCCCCCACCGAAATGAAGATCAAAAAGCAACAGGGCAACCCAGGTGTCGTGAGTCCATTTAAAAACCAGCTGAGTGGGAAGATGTTGGAGGGAGACCAGTGAGCCCCAAGACCTATGGGACTCAACAGTCCCTCCCCCACCCTGGTGACCCATGTTCACATTCCACCACGTGTCCACTGTGCTGTGTTTGGCGATTTTCTTAACCCTGCAGAGCCTCGGTGTTGCCAACCCTAACATGGAACCCAAGTCCTGCCTCCCCATGGGCCTGGGGGACAATGACAGGGGCCCTGACAGGAGCCCTGCTGGTCAGGTCTCCGAGGGGGCCAGCTCAGTGCAGGTCAGACCTTGCTGTCATCATGACTGACAGCTGCCCACAGGCCTGGGAAAGTTGGAATAGCCCTACCCCAAAGCCGCCGAGTGAGAATTTGTTACAGTCTTGTGCCCAGCCTACGTTGTCCCCGAGGCCAGGTACCCCTTCTGTGCCATGACAGGTCAATGACACAACAGAAATGCCACCAAGTATTTAACACACTGGGCAGTCACACTGGCTTTTTGATATGTTCTCTCAAATCCCTTCAAGGGAAGTTTTGGTGGGGAGGTGGATCGGAGCCTGCCTCCCTGCCGCCCACCCCACCTGCCTGCGGGCTTGTTCGAGCAGCTTTGCTTGTCTCAGAGCTGGGAAACGGGGCAGCCGGGCTCTCCAAGGGTCAGCCACCGACGTGGGTGTCTAAACACTGATGCTGCTTTCAGCAGTTTCTAGAATGCCAGGCTTATGGACGGCTTATCATTTTCCTGAGGTTTAGCATCTTGGAAGGGTCTTTAGCAGCAAACACTACTTGGAAAAGAAACATTTATCTTATGCCACAAGTCCAAATGTATACATTAATTGCTTCCAAATTATTTAATTAAATTTCTTCTTCTTATTTGAGTATATTTTATCAATTATGCTGTTATGGCCATCCCATTTATTTCTGTCCTTTATTCCGCCCCCCTGCCCTGCACACCCCCCTCTGGCATTACCCTCCAGCCTTAGTTCGTGTCCATGGGTTGTTCATGTAAGTTCTTCGGCTTCTCCATTTCCTATACTGTTCTTAACCTCCCCCCATCTGCTTTGTACCTACCAGTTATACAAAGAAGCTTTTCTTGATAATCAATACCAGCCCATGTTTAGACCTTTGAACATTTGCCATGACTCATGTTTGCATCTTTAAACCAGTATCTGTGCAGGTGGAGGGTGGCGGAGCCCTTGAATCCTCAGCCACAAGCTCAAAGGCAGGATTCAGCCCAACACCCAGCCCAACGCCCCTGCCCTGAGCTCTAGTCGCACAGATCATGTTATCTGGGGGACAGATTCCCAGACAGTCTTGGGACCTGTTTCCAGTAGCGACATGGCTTCATCTGGTCTGCCCCTCACCGTGGCAGAGGCGAGAGAGCAGCAACAAATGTTTTTCCTTTTGAGAAACTTCATGGTTCCTGGGCCAAGCGTCACTGAGCCTCCACAGTGTGTCCTTCTAGATTTAGCAGTCAAGACGTGAATCACCTTTTCGTCACACGTCGGACTGGGGCTCCCAGAGACACGGATCTCGGCCTTGCCCTTGGACGCCTAAGTCCCGTCGAAGCACTGGCCGGAGGGCTCCGTTTGGGCCCAGTCCAGCACACGCACGTCCACCTGAGGCACTGATGGTTTCAGAAGGTACTTAAAATGAGACCCGCGTGGCCTTTGTGGGGAAACAGCCACTTCCTGGAGCGGCAGTTTTTCTTATTGGTCCCTGGGCCTCGCGATTTGTTCAGGGTCATCATCAGGCCAGGCCCCGTCGCCAGAACCTGGGTTCAGATCTACAGGAAGAGAGACCCCCGTGTGGCTGAGGGGCAGGACAAGACTGCTATTTAATTAAATTTAAAAGTTCATGTGATCGTTCACAAAGGGTTCATGCCTGGAATTGTAAATAAAAAAGTCTTGGAATATATTATTATTAATTAATAATTCAGAGAGAAATAGAAAATTGGAATGCAAAATTCTCTGTGTTGTTGTTGTTTTTTTTATCACTCTGCAATGCATCCAGCAAATGCCTATTTTTGAGAAGAGAATAATTAGACGTTGAGACTGTCTGGAGGATCATTACTTCTAATTAGCTTAGTTATTTACTGTAAATGAAGCATTGTTTGTAAGCAGGTTGCTTTGCCGGCATTATTGCTTTGCATGAGGTGTGCTGACCCCGGAAGGTCTGAGGATGAAGAGGCCCTTGCTTGGAGCGCTTCCTCGGAGCTGTTCCCCCTGGTGGAGGTCACACCGTGGGCCCCCGCCCTGCCAGACCTCTGCAAGTGGGGACAAGAATACCTCAGCCCTCCTGGGACCGCAGACGGAGTGAGTCAGAGTGGGCCTGCAGTTCCCTCGTGCTGACGATGCTGGTGAGTGTGATCACAACCATGCAGTCGATGAACCCATCTGTGCCTTTCGTTCTGAAAATGAGGGGAATTGTGGTTTCTCTAATGATCCTGCCAATTAGAAGAAAAAAACCCCACAATGATTTGAGAGGTTCAAATCTGCATAATGAACCTGTTCTCCTGGTTCTCAGTTCTGTTCCTCTCTCCGCCAACAGGGGACATTGGGCAGTGTCTGGAGACATTTGTGGTCACCACAACCTGGGAGGTACTGCTGGCACCTGTGGGGGAGGCCAGAGAAGCTGCTCAAACCCTGTGACGCACAGGACTGGCCCCACAGCCAGGAACCTGCTGGTCCCAAATGTCAAGGGTGCGATGAAGCCATCAAAATTTTAAAGATATGTCTATCAGTGAAATCTCTGGGACCAATGGCTTGGACTGTGAGGCCTGCTGCTTTAAGTCGTTCCCAGTAATCTGAGACATGCAGAACACCAGGCAGATGCCGTGTGTAGCTCAAAACCTGAGGAAATCAAGTTTCTCTTCTGCCCGGGGCTGGTAGAAACTCAGGGTCAACTTGGAAAGTGGGAGGGGGTGAGACCTTGAGGTGCTGGGAAGCCCTTGGAAGTTTCTGAGTTGAGAAGTAACAAAACAGCAAACAACTTGAACACCTACTGTGGGCCACATCCTGTATTAAGTTCATGACCCAGGTTCATTTCATCTTCCTGCTGTCCCAGTTTTTACAGATGAGGCAACCAAGGCTCAGAGAGGGTAAGTGACTTCCCCAAGGGCACATAGTGAGGGGCACTGTGGGAGCCCAACCGAGGCTCAGTCTAGAGCAGCACCCTTAACCTTGTACACAGGAGCAGGATGCGACCCTTGGCCGGGCAACCCCGTCGCCGTGAGGACTGGCCTGCAGGAGCAGCTAGCCCCTCAAGAGCAGGGCTGAGGAAAGGGCCACCCAGTCCCCTGGCGCTGAAAAGGAACCCCCAGCTCAGGTCCCCAGGCATGAGGAGGGATTTGCACTTCTGCCTTGGTTGGATGCTCCCCTGACCTACGGGCAGTGCCAGCGCTTTCACTAGAGATGCCGTGTCCCGACCAGGTGGCTCAGTTGGTGGGGACGTCATCTCATACATACACCAAAAGGCTGCAGGTGCAGTCCCTGCTCGGGGTGTGTGTGGGAGGCAGCCGGTTGATGCTTCTCTCGAACATCCATCTCTGTCTCAAGTCGATAAACACATCCTTGAGTGAGGAAGAGGCAGAGACACAGAGAGAGGCTGTGCTCCCAAGAAGCCTTTCTAGAGACACTTCAGCGCCTGGCCCAGCAGACTACGTGCGTCAGAAGTGGTTCGGAAATGCTGGATCTGCAGTGAGTCCAGCACGTGGCACAGCGGGCTCTGTTCACGCACAGCAGGCTCGCCCCCCACAGGAGGGCTGGACGTCGCTTCCACCCCGTACCAGTGATGACGGGTCACTGTAGGTGATTGCGGGCTGGGGGGCAGGAAAGGAGGGCTCCTCGGGCTGCTCCCGCACGTAGCGCGGGCTGCGGCTCTCGCCAGCACGTGACTCTTGGGTTCCCTGGCCCCAGTTCTCGCCAAGCCTGGAACCACCCCCAGGAGGCTCACAAATCCAAAACACAGAAAGGAAAACGCGGCTCCCGACCCTGCAGACGTGAGACTCGTCCTGCCTCTCGCAGAGCTGTCCATTCGCTTCATGTCTATAAACATTAGGGGAGCTGGCACCAGGGATGTGGAGGGTAATCTTACTTCCTCACACGGTTTTCTTTTTTAAAATGATCCCTGGCAAAAAAGAGAGCATTTGGGAAGATGGTGGCAGAGGTAAATGCGGCTCGTGAATCCTCCCACAACCACATCAAAATTACAACCAATCTACAGAAGGACCATCATTCAGAACCACCTGTAATCTAGCTGAATGCAAGTCCTACAACTAGGAATTTAAAGCAGCAGCCACGTGGAGACTGGCAGGAGGGGCGGAGATGTGGAATGGGCTGGTCCCATGCCCAGTCGTGGCGGATAAAAATTGGAGGGATATCCCAGCTGCTGAGGAGCCCCCCTGAGGAGCAAGGGCTCCCAGCCCCAACCAGGCCCCAGCCCAGTGCTGGGAAGAAAAGTTCCCATTACTTCCTGCTGTAAAAACCAGCGGGGACTGAAGCTGAGGGAGACGGAGGGCTTCTGAAGTCCCAGGCAGTTCCTCTAAAAGGGCCCTTGCTCAGACTTCTTGGGACTGACTCCCTCTGAGCTCCAGTGATGGGGCTGCAGCTTGAAAGGAGCCAGGGACATGTGGGGATGGACTGCAGTGTCTGGCACCAGGGTGGGAGCTGGGAGGGCAGCTGGCACGGGCCACTGTTCCTTTGGCGAGCCCTCCCCCACAAAGGCAGCAGGTGGGCACCACATCTGAGTTGCCATCAACCCGGCTTACACTATTCACCAAGCCCTGGTGATTCCCGGAGATTCCGCTCCACCCAACTCTCAGGCCCGCCCAAGGTGTTTCCAGTGGCTTTTCCATACAAATGGCTTGTCTTGGTTCATGCTTCGGACCGTCCTAACACTTCTCAGACGAGCAGCATCTGGCTCAGCATGCCACGTACCTCTTGCGAAAGGACCCCAGGCCTGGCACTAGCGTCAGCCGGCCTTGGTTCACAGCTTGGCCTCACCTGGGCACCTCTAAGCCCAGCACAAGTAGAAGCTCTCTGTGGGTTGCTCTGTAGCTCATGCCAGGTGGCCCTGGGCAAGGCCCAGGTGGTGCTGACCTTGGCCTGCACCTCCCAGGAGATCTCGTAGCCAGCATGCCAGTGGACAGCTTCAGACTACGTCAAAGCATCACCCAACTGCCTCCAAGAGGGATGTACCCAAGGGGTGGGCTCAGCGAGCACCAGAGGCCCCCTGAAATAAGCCCTGCTCTGTGGGGTGGGCCTTGCACAGGGGATCCTCCGTGGTCACAGCCAGTCCTTAAAGCCAATCGACCCGGGGGGTAAATCCCTCTCATTGATGTGCCAACAACAATCAAGCCTCAACTACGGGAGGAGGGTGTGCACAGCCCACACAGCAGCTGCACCTCAAGGACCCAGCTCAGGTGAAAGGGGAGGTGGTGCTGCTGGACCCTACAGGACACCTAATACATAAGGCCACCTACCACTCCCAGGAGATGTAGCAGCTCTGATGCACAGAAACAAACACAGAGAGGCTGCCACAATGAGGAGACAAAGAAACCTGTCCCAAGCGAAAGAACAGGTCAAAACTCCAGAAAAAGAACCGAACTATTTGGAAAAATGACAGAAAACTTCCTTAACCGGGTGAAAGAAATAGACATATAAGTCCAGGAAGTGCAGAGTCCCAAACAAGATGGACCCAAAGAGGCCCACCCCTTTAATTATGACTACTTAATCATAATTAAAATGCAAAGGTTAAAGACAAAGAGAATCTCAAAAGAAGTAAGACAAAAGCTGTTAGTTTAGTTACCTTCAAGTGAGCTCCCAAAAGACTGTGGGTTGAAACTTTGTAGGCCACAGGGAGTGGCCTACATACAAGAAATATGCAAAGTGATGAAAAGCAAGGACCTACAACCAAGATTACCCAGCAAAGCTGTCGTTTAGAACAGAAGGACAGATGAAGAGTTTCCCAGACATGAAAAAGCGAAAGGAGTTTATCGCCACCAAACCAGTATTACATGAAATGTTGAAGGGCCTTCTTTAAGAAAAAGAAAAAGAGATAAAAAATAGGAACAATAAAGTGACAATATCAACGACTGAATCTAAAAAACAAAGTAAACAAGCAGAACAGGAACAGACTTGTGGATGCAGAGAACGTTCTGACATTTGCCAGATGGGTGAAAAAGGTGAAGGGATTAAGTACAAATTGGTTGTTAAGAAACAGGCATGTGGTTCGAAGTGGGACGTAGACACACAGTCAATAACATTCTAGTAACTTCGTGTGGTGTCAGGTGGGGATGAGATTTCAGTAACTTATCCTTAGAATCCCTTAGAAAGTTAAACAATGCATGGCCACTGGGGTGTATGCCTGAAACTAATGTTGTATGTCAACTGTAATTTAAAAATAAAAACATTATATAAAAACTGGGGGGAAAAAGAGCATTTGGCATAATTTAGGCAAAATAATACACAAGACTTAACACGGAACCATTGTGGGAGCTCGAGGGACACGCAGTTGCATCGCAACTGCTGGCCAAGCGAGCAGCTGCCAGAAGCTGATAAGCACGCAGCAAACAGGCTTCTGGGGAGCGCACACCGAAACCTTTGGGGAGGCTTATATGTGAACAGGACGAAAGAGGAAAGGAGGCATCTTCCTCTGCTTTTTACCCTCTACCTGGTTCCTTTTGCATAGTCTTCCGTGGATTTTAAACAATTACAGATGGGTTAGGACTGATGACCACTGTGGCTTTAATCATTCTCTCTTTGCAGACAGCACCCCTGCCTTCCAGCCGGTGGGGAACAGCAACTGGCGTGCTGTGCGTCGTCACTGATTGGGGATGCCCAGCTCCCGCCTTCCCTCCGTCCTGGAGACTGCTCGCCGAATTACGTCTCGGCCAGAACAGCACTTCGAGGTCTGAGAAAAATAGGGTGGTCTTGCTTCAGGGGCCCTCGGTGGCCCAGGAGAAGGTTGCCTTGAGTTCCTGCTCTCCTTCTCCACCAGTCTCCTCCTACCCCTCTTGCCCACTCCCTTCCCTCCCTCCCTGCCCCCCAGAGAAAGCCAGAGGTTAGGGGCGCTACACTGTGAACCTGCCTCGCAGGCCTGCAGGTGCGCTGTGCCGCACGGCCTCGGCAGGCGGGCAGGTCTGTATCTTTATTATATACGTTTTCAGCAGATGGCAGTAAAGTATCTTGGGAAAGGTTTTTTTGTTTCGATTTTAAATCATTAGCAGAAAGGCACCTTTTGGGCTCTGGGCAGGGCATGATAAGGCCACGGCTGGGCCCAGCAGGTCGATGGGGGGTGGGGAGCAGAACAGGCTGTGCCCCAGGGCAGTTTCGTGGAGGAAAGTGCTGACTGGGTGAGGACAAAGGAGGGCGTGGACTCCAGAAAAGGTCGCCAGCCATATTTTCAACATAATTTACTACAGGTATTTGAAGTGTATATAAAACATTTTAGTGCAACATCTTACAAATAGTTTTCCTTTAAAAAAACAAACAGACAAAAAAAAATCAACAGCTCTCTACATCATGCATGGGTAGTTTTCTTACCCCACCTCTTTTTTCTTCCACAATGAACGCAGAGAAACCATTGTTTGACAAGAATATGAAAACTTGCTACTGTAACACCCTGGTGAAAGTTGGTGCGGTCATATCCGTGTCCTGGGATGGGCCTAGCACAGTGTAGGTTTTGTTAATGCGACATCATAGATGGAGACGAGCCAGGAGAGTAGGCGGCAGTCTCTCTCCCGGTCTCAGAGCTCCCGCCGGGAATGTGCAGGGAAGCCTCCCAGCCACTGGAGGGCGCCATTACCATTCATCTGACACCACAATGGCCCAAGAAGGTCGGTCCTGGGGCTTTTCATAGAAAGCTGGAAAAGCTCGCCCTTTGATGGTATCCCCCAAAACCCCATAGAAAATACACAGAAAAAAAACACCCAACTATTAAAATACTGTCTTCAGTTTTTCTTTCAAATTTCCTGCAACTGCTTCACCTATTTAATTACGTGCAGCAGTCACCCTTCCGCAGCTTTGAGCTGATTCACACTCGCGTGTCAGGTGCACACCCCAGTCCCAGACAGCCCTCTGGCGTCGTTCCACTCAGACAGAAGAACAAGGCTTCTGCCCTCACTGACCTCGTCAATAAATTAGTGGTCAGCAACTTCCCACTGAAAGCCCACACCCCTGAAGTGAGGAAATAGGGCAAAAGACCGCTTCTCCCTTGGCCAGTGAGGCGAGTCTGCAGCACCATGCAGCACAATAAATGACAATGAGCAAGGGAGGTGACAGGATTAAGGGGGTGGTGCAGACACTCCAAGCAGAGCCCTGGTGTACCTGCCAGGAAGGGAGGGCGGGTGCGTGTGAAAGTGGCTGGGCACTCACCCCGCTCCCTTCGGGGGGCGCTGTGCACCCACAGGCCCCGGCCAGGATCAGCACCCACACCGCCCGGGGAGCCCCACCGCCTCCCCGGCGTCTGCTCCGTCGGCCATCTCTCTGATTACACTCGGTGCTGCCCAGATCCCTGCTGGTTTTTTCCAAATGGGGAAACTCCCCCGGAATTCGAGAGACTGAGCTCACAGAGAAAGGGAGATGGCATTCTGGCCAGCAAATGTGGGAAAACCAGGGCAAAAAAATGTCTTTGTGGAGTGAGCAAACGCTAGAGGCGATGCTGCTTTCGGGGAGCCGAGCTTCTGGCCCAGGTGTGTGAAGTCACAGGGTGACGCAGGCCTTCGTTGGACTTCAGGGGCATTTGAATAAAAAGCAGCCATAACAACGAACTACCCAATTGCCTAAAACCGCAGACGAGATCTGAGAATGGGAAAGGTGAAAAACCTGCAAAGGCGTGTGCTGCTTTCTGCCGAGACCGGGGAGGCGGACGGTTTCCCAGGGCTGCGCCGGGACCTCCCCTGGGTGCTGGTATAGCGGTGACAGGCAGAGTGAGGTAAACGGTGAGGAGGGAAGACATCCATCTCTTTGAGGAAAACCTAATCGAAAGGAAGAACAACCTAGTCCTCGCAGCTCCCGGGCCGGTACTGCTGCCTGCTCTCCGATGCCAGGCTCTGGGAAGCCCCTCCCACCGCCGACCGTCCACTCCTCGGGCGGCTGACTTGCCACAGTCGCTGGAACCCTGCCAGTGTGTGTGATGGCTGCTGGGGCCCGTGTGTTCAGCCCGGCACTGTCCCCTCCCCAGGCTCACCGGCCACCTTCCCTTAAACGTTTGGCAAAGCACCTTACAACAGAAGCCCACCTGGTCAGTGATGAGCGACCGACTGTCCTCACGGGACAGACCAAGCCGACAACTAGCCTTCCTTCCGTCGCTTACCATTGGCTTCGATCAATCTGCAAGTCAGCAGCTGCGCAAAGGAGCCCTCTGCCCGCTTTGCAAAGTGTGAGCTGTCTGGAGCCTTTAACTTGTTCTCCAAAAAAGTTTTCTTATTTTTTGGCAAGGTTGGGAGGAATCCTATTTTTGCCTCCCTGGCAGATAGGCTGGCTGGGCACCATCTACTCCTAATGGGCTTATGCAGGGTTTCTCTTGTATGTACCAAGTTCTTTGAAGAAAAAAAAAAATTCAGGGCTTTCATCTTGACTACAAAGTGTTTCCAACGACTCCAGCTGAGGGCAAAGATAAGATACAAATTGGGCCCATGTTTCATATAATTTTCAAGTCTCATTAAGAAAGTAAAAAACGTTTGGGTGTACGTTGTTCCATGGGTGGCATTTTCAACGGTGCAGTAACAAAAGGTCTTAGAAGAGACTCCTTGGCCGCTAGGAAGTCCGTCCTTCCTTTTCTCATCCGTTGTATGTAAGAGAAATACGTCCACGACACCACAGAATCCAAAAAAGGTAAACCACAGGGACTTAAAGAGAGTCCGTCACAAAGAATGGGGACCCCGGAACTGCCTGTTACTCCCGGTGAGCAGACGCGGCTCCTGGAGCTACTCACTACGTTACCCAGAACAAAAACAAGAGCTAATGCTGCAGGACGAGGACACCTGCTTGGAGACCGCCAGCCCGCAGGACCGCCACCTGGAGGCGGCCGTCTGCCTCTGCAACTGATGGGGGACAGTGAACGCGACTCAAGTCTGCGCGGTCCAGAGGGCGCGCCGAGGTCAGAGGTCGGGGCTGTGCGCCTGCCTATCACAGAGCGAGAGGTGGCGCTGGAGCGCCTCTGCTCCTGGTGGCGGCCGTGGCCCTTGGGGGCCTCAGTCTATGGCTCCCGGGTGGATGCTGAGCACTGGGGGCTCCAGGCAAGTGGGGGAGTAGTTGAGGTGCGGCTCTTTGATCCACAGCAGCGGCACCCCGTTCTTCCCGTCCGAGTTCTTGCTGGAGCTCCGGCTCTTGAAGCGCACCAGCAGGATGGTGATGATGAGGATGCCGAAGATGGGGAACGGGTAGAAGAAGACGAAGTAGAAGAGCGCGTCGTTGGAGCAGATGGCGGACTGCAGCGAGGAACCTGCAGGGACCGTGCGGGAGACAGCACAGGGGGCGCTGAGACCGCGGACTGTTGGCTTTCCTCCCGGAGACCTCGCCCAGCCCAGTAGAAGCCACTTGTTGCGGTGTGTGCCCACCCTTTCCCCTACGCCACCCAGGGCAGGGGTGGATCCTTCAGTTCTTGCGCTCAGGGAGCCCCTCTCCAAACGAAGCAAGGCTTCCATTTCCCACTGTGGGTTGGTGGCACTGCTTGGAAAGCCACATAATAAAATGTGGTTTACTGATCGTGAACTTGACTACATGTAGGAAGGGGTAGAAGCTGACTCTAGCTCAGCCTGAACCTCCTGCCTGGTTCTGTTTTACCTGTCCCTTTGCACTCAGGTCTGCTCCAAACGTCCCTCTCAGGGACGGTACCCTGTTCTCTCCCCACCGACTTCTGAGAGCAGTGACGAGGAACAATGCTCGCCTGATTGACGTTGGGAGTTAAAGTGTCACGTGGGCCATCCACAGATGTCCACAGTGTGTCTGTGGCTGTGCAGAGTGCAGGGCTGGCTGCTCCTGCACATGGGCCAGGATGACACATGGTGCCCCTGATGCAGCCGAGGATGCTGTATGACGTAGCATTTCCTCCATAAATAAGGCTGCTGGATAATCTCGGTGTTCTCTGAAGCTTTAATGCATACAAACATCCATGGTGGGCAGAGAAAATGTGACCTAAATGCCTTCCCTTATACTTTTGGACGGTGGGTAAGAAGAGGGTTGGGGGGTATGAACAGGATTTAGGTTTCTTCTTCCTTCCTAGTTACCACTTAGCTGTTGCTCATCACTACTAAGAAAATTTAACATACCCTTCCACTTCTCAGATTTCCAGAGAATATGAAATTGCTGACGGTCAGCCACTTTGACCCACAAAACCTCCATTTCCTATGGTTCTGCCGAAGAAATGGGAGGTGGTCAAAGAGAAGGAAAACTGACAAAACTCAGTCACATTTAACGGGTAAAATGTGTTGAACCAAAAGAAGCAGAAATTTCAAGCAACACTTTTATTGTGGCCATATAGGCTCATTCTACTTTTTTAAAAAATGCTTTTTTTTTGGTCTGGTATGTTCTATGTTTTGACAGAAGGCCAACAGAAAGAGGTCCTTGTTAGAATGAAGGATTCAGGTGAGTCCCTGCTCATTCATGTGGCCCCTCAGTCTGACGGAAACTCTGAGCTTGGGACCCCTCTGTGGCAACAGCGGGCGGTGAGCAGGGCCACCGCTAGGGTCTCCCCGGCGCCGCGTGGCCTCCCTGCCTCAATAGGCTCATCTTCCCAACCGACCCTGCAAAATGCACCTAAACCTCCAAGTCACCCTCCAAAATAAACATGACCTTGGAACTTGAGAAAAAGAAAGAATGACTTAATGACCCACTGTCCAAAAGTGTAAGGGATGGGGTTTAGATCACTTTCTACCTGCCCACTGTGGGCATTCGTATTTGGGAAGCTTCACGGAACACAGAGCTGGCCTGGCACCCTTGTTTCACGGGGAACAAGTGGGCTCCCAGAGGCCGGGCTGCTGCCGGGGGCCAAGGGAGTTATCTGGGCTTCATTTTAAAGATTCTTCCCCTTATGAGTCTGAAACACTTGCTAATTTCCTAAAGCAAAAGAGGCTGGATATTCTAAAGAGTGTCAAGGTAACATCAACAATATGTTGTCCTCATACAAGGAAATCTTGCTAAACCAGAATCTGGTGTGGCACCAGTTCTTGGAAGGGATTACTCGGCGAGTCGTTGCTCTGACTCCTGGCCCTGGTTTTTGCACGAGCTATCAGGGGTCAGTGACGTGGACTGGTGTGCAGACTCTAAATGCCCAGACAGCTGAGAATGCAGCTCATTCATCCAAAACCGAGCTGCAGCTTTTATCTTCCAGGCAGTTGCCATCAGACTGGAAAACTCACCTGTGTCCAGCACTTGGATGCCGATGGGGGCTGACTCCCCCTCCGTCAGCCGGTACCACTCCTTCTGCGGGCTGGGCAGCCACTCCTCCACACGGCAGGAGTAGTTGCCCGTGTCCCGGGTGCTCGCCTGCAGCACCGTGAGCCTGAAGAGCAGGGCGGACAGCCTCTGGAAGCGAAGCCTGCCCTCCCAGGGGCTGCCCTCTGGGCCAAACACGGCATCTGGGCCCACGCTCAGCAGGACCACTCGCTCCGCTGGGTCCTCCTCCTCCTCCTCTTCCTCCTCCTCGTCCTCCTGTTCTTCCAGGCCGGGGCCGCCCCCTTTCTCCCCAGCTTTAGTCCTCAAGGAGTGCCAGCTCACAGCGAAGCGGGAGTCCTGGCTCGAGCGAGACACGATGCTGCAGTCCAGCTGGAACGCTGCCTTCTCCGGCACCGTGGCATTGGGGACCAGCGCGTCCACCTGCAGGGCGGCCTCTGGGAGGACGAGGACGAAGAAGGGAGAAGAGGCTGTGTTAATTTCTTTGCTCAAGAGAAACTCAACGTCCATCAGTAAATACACTAGAGTAACATCCGCATGACAGACCGCTGGGCACCTGCTGAAAGGAACGGGGTCGCACCATGTGCGGAGATGTGGAAGAAGATTTGAGAAAACCTGTTGGAGTACAGAACGCTGGCTGTGTATTCAATGCCTCACTGCACGCAGAGGTTTATATCTGCGTGAGTTATCCGTGGAAGAAGTCACAAGGGGCTGGTCACGTGGCTGCCAGTGGGAATCTGGGGAGGGAAGGGCACATTTGCTCTCTGAACCCTTGTAGTGGTTGAATACTGTCCCCTAAAATTCACACCCACCTGGAACCTCAGCCTGTGACCTGGACTGGAGACAGGGTCTGTGCAGACGTAATTAGGTTAAGATGAGCCCTACAATGACTAGTGTCCTTGTCAGAAAGGAGAGGACACAGGCACACAGAGGACAGGTGAAGACGGAAGTGGAGGCTGGAGCAATGAAGCTGCAGCCAGGGGCCACATGGGGCCACGTGGGGCCAGGAGAGGCCAGGAAGGACCCTTCCCTAGGGAGCCGGGCACTGTGACAGCTGGATCTCAGACTTGAGCTGCCAGAACTGTGTGGGAATGAATTTCTGTGGTTTCCGGCTACCAAAGTTTGCGCTGACTTGGTACGGCAGCCCTGGGACACAAATTCCCCTTCCAGCAGCGTTGGCGCTTGAACTGCGCACCTGGAGTGTTGCCTGTGCCACAGCGAACCCAGAGGGGTAGATACGCTCTGAAAACTGAAGCCAAAAGAAGACTCTGGATCTGATAGGCAATCTGCATGGAGCACCGGCTCCTCCCCCTCCCCCAAGAGGGGGTGCCTTCCCGACAGAGGGGGAGACTGGGAGCAGCCCGGGGCAGGTGCCCACGCAGGTGAGGCGCTGCTCACAGACACATCCAGACAGGCCGTAACCTGTTTCTTTATATTTTTTTAATGGCTTACTGGGGAAGGTTCTACGCAAACAATTCACTCCCTAGCTCCTAAAAGGCTGTTTGTGGAACGAACGCTTGTGAAAGATGCCAGCGTAGCATCAACAAAAGCAGAGATACCAAATCAGATCCTACTTGGATGAAGCCCAAATCGGAGCATTTCCCAAGTACTTTCCCGGGCTTTCAATGAATTGGCTTCCTGTTGCCCACAGGTGAACACAAAGCTGGGTTCCCACTGCTTTTGTGGGGTCCTGCCAAGCCCCCGGACGCCCCGAGGCCCATCTGGAATCTCGGTGTGCACGGCTGGCACATGGGGCTCAGGAACTGCTGCGGACTCCACATGCTGCCCCGGGGTCTCCCTGGGGAGGGGGAGGGCTGGGTGGGGCAGGGGCAGAAGGATCGAGAATAGGAAATCGGTCCACAGGCGACTCCAAGCCCCTCACTCATTGGCTGGTTCTTCCAGAAAGCACAGCTAATGTGGGACCCCAAAGCCCCAGAGAGAAATACTGCAAAGCAAGGGGCAGTCTAGGGTGCTCTTTCCTCCAGAGTCCAGCACACTGTCCCTCTGGCGACTGGCCACTGTGTCAAAGGAGGTGGTCCTGAGAAGGGCCATGCAATGGACCCACTGCAGCAGGAGGTCAGTTCCCACCCAGTGGTGCTCCCCACCTCCTCTCCTTTAGTTTTTTTCCCCGCTTTCACTGCTCACAAGTCTTCCCGGCCCCTTCAAGGGCCTTGTCTGCATTAGTGATTCAGTACAAGGTGTTTGAATGAAATCAAACTCCACCCTCATTCAACCTCCCTCCTCTGAACACAGAGTCTCCACCACCTAGACTTCCTGTGTCTGACACTTTCTAAGACAGGCCAGCCACCTACCTCCCCGCCAGAGGTCACTGCTTTCTCCTTTTCCAGGTGGAAGGAAGCCCCAGGAGGGGGTTCCGCTCCGCCTGCCCCCACCCACGCTGCCTGCTTCTGGGGCGTCACCATGACTGCGGACCCCCGGGCGGTCCTTTGATGACTGGTTTCCTCTCTTCCCCCATCGTGGAGCCAAAGGCAGCTACAAACTACTCAGCTCCAATCTCCCTGAGGGCAGGAGCCCCGCCTTTCATGCATTTCCTACTGTGGTCGACCTTGAGCGATGCTCGGTGACTCTCAATGCAACTCCCGGAGTTACATTATTTCCAATCTTCTATACGTCCAACTTGCACCTCGGAAAAGCACAGCCACACAACGGATGCCACGCAGCCAGTAGCCACGGTGGTCATGGAACGCCAGTGAGATTACAGACCGTGTTTCTTTTCAAAAGCCACCCTTTCTGTGTTCCGAATCCTTTGCGACCGGCACGGTCAGCTCGTACACACTGATGCACCGTAATAACAGCGTCAGTCAGTGAGGGGCCTGCAAGGCGGGCGGGGGTCCCATGAGGTTCGAAGGGGGCTGGGACATCCCTACTGCCTTGCAACATGGTAAAGCTGCACCGAGTTGCATCATGCACATGTGTGAACGGGCCTGCTGCTGTGTTGCCGGTCACACGAAGGTGCAGCACACATGGTTCTGCACAGCACATGGTGCTTGACAGTGACAATAAACGACTGTCCCTGGTTTGTGCATTTAACACACTCTGCCTTTTTATTGCTGTCACAGTGCACTTTTTCTACTTACAATAAAGAGTTTGCTATAAAACCATACACAGTATTACACCTCATCCGTCTCCTATTTACTGTGTCTATTTCTCTTTGTGGCTACGTCATTTTTCTCTTGTGCCTGATTTAGCCTTGTGCTGTTTTGCACAGGACACGCTACACAGGCCTGTAGCCTGGGAGCAATGGGCCGGACCCGCAGCCCTGGTCTGCGCAGGCTCCGCCGTCTGGGTCTGCACCGGTGCGCCCTGGGATGTTCACACAGCCCCGAGACCGCCTCATGGCGCCTTTCTCAGAACAAACCCCCGTTGCCGTTGCCGGGTGGCCCTGCCTGCACTCGGGCAGGCGGGTGATCCGGGCCACTCATCTGGCTGAACAGGAGACACAGGGCTGCAGGTTTAAGGGTCACGCTGGGAGCCCAGGCTGTGGCAGGAAGGAGACGCGGTGGCCACTCGGCCTGCTCTTACCAGCTGTGTGGCCCTGCCCCTCACGCTTCGGTTCCCAAGGGGAGAAAACGGACCAGTCGCCGTTGTTGTGAGGACGGGAGGTAAGTCGCCTCACTGTGGCTGGGACGCAGCTGCCACCGCACAAACCTGTGTCTCCTCCCACCTCACCTGGGGCCCCAGCACAGTGACCTGCAAGACAGGTGGGAGCTGGGGCGAGGGACGAGGGGCATGTTCGGCTGCCACGTCTGTACAATTTTACCTTTGGGGAAAGATGAGCAGCAGCTTCTAGGCAAGGGAGAAAAAAGAAACCAAAAAACCCGCATGGCAAAACGCATGACTCAGAGTTGAGGTGGTTTCCCAGCCCCAGTGAAGACACGGAGCGGGGAGGGAGGGACGGCCCTTCCTTGCAACAAAGGGCGGACGTGGCTCCGAAGGGAGCTCCGTGGTGTGTGGGCCCGGCGTGACCGAAGCTTCGTTGCTCCGATGGGAAGGCGGCTCCGCTCGGACACAAACACACGGCAACAGCTTCCCACAGCGCCAACCACACACTTGGGGGCCTGAGTGTGCTCAGAAGAGAAACCAGACAAAGCGTTCACACTGACACAGGCCGCAGCTCCATTTCTGCTCCAGGCCCTTGGAGGGCCGCTGGAGTCCCATGCGGACGTGGATGAATAACGGCGTGGTGGGCAGAGAGCCCAGGAGCCACACCGTCTCAGTGACGAGTTTAACTGTGTCACCGTCATCACACCTAGTCACCGTGTGTGTTCAGGCATGTCGGCGACAAACAGTGGAGACGAGAAAGGCCAGGGCCACATGGGTGGTCGTCAGCACCTATGAAACTGCCAGGACGCGAGAGGGCGGAGGCGGCCTGTACTTGGCCTTTCTCTGCGACTTCCTCCCACTGAAAATCCATCAGCTCAGTTTTTTGAACCACATGGCTACTGCATATCCACCACTTGTCTGGGTCTCAATGTGTTCTTTGAAAGAAAGCTATTCTATGCTGTGCGATAATTAATTAACACATGCTATTCTAGTTATGAAAAAGAATCACCTGAGGCCAAAGCCAGATGTGCGATTTTCCATTCACGAGGGGAAAAAAATTGAGGCGATACTGAATGAAAATGCAGACGGTAACTGCGCATATACTTGACTGCAGACAGCGTATCAGTGAACAAACTAACTTCACGCAGCGCATCAGGTCTCAGTCTCCCGAGGGACACAGTGGAGGCGGGGAGCCTGGGGACGTGGACCCTCACCTGGGCGCGTGACTGTCACAGCTGTCTGTCCGGCGGTGTCCTCTGCCCGCTTGTACCACACGCCGCGGGGGCTGGGCAGCCACTCCTCCACGTGACAGCTGTAGGCGCCGCTGTCCTGCACTGCCACGTTCTGGATGGAGAGCCGGTACACGCCGGGCGAAGGGCTCTCCACGTGCAGGCGCCCCTTCAGGTTGTTCCTGGCCGCCTGCTCTCCGTAGTGGAAGGTGGCCTCGCGGCTCAGGCGCGCCACGGCCTCCCGCTCCGGGTGGTTGGGCTTCCACACGAACCACTCCACTGCCAGCTGGGAGGCCGCGCTGGTGCGGTTCAGGACCACACACTCCAGCTGCACCTGCCGCGTCTCCAGGACCGACAGGTTCCCCTGCGCTTGGCTGAGCTTCAGGCGGCTGTCTGGAGAGGCAAGGAAAGAGACGTCAACGGCAAGACGACCGCCGGCCACCTGCACGCGCCACTTCCGTGCAGAGGTGAATGGGCGCCTTGTCAGTGCAGCGGGCAGGCAGCACCCGGAGTAGCAGAGACGCTGCCCAGGTTCGGCGCCCTAACCATGCTGGGTTCCTGGTCATGTGTCTGTTTCATTTATTTCCTCAAATTGTGAGTTATTGACTTTAGAGGGAGAGAAAAACATCAGTTTGTGGTTCCACTACTGACCCACTCATTGGTTGCTTGTACGTGCCCCAACCGGGGATCAAACCCACAGCCTTGGTGGGTCAGGGCCACGCTCTAACCGACTGAGCAACCAGGCAGAGGCTTGGGAGTCTGAGTTTCAAGGGGTTCAATGGGACAGTAATGGCTGTCCCCCAATTTGTAACCCTGATCAGTTCAGATGCTCAGCAGAGGACAAGCACCCCCTCTTGTCCCCGACGACTTGTGTAGATGACCGCACACCCCAACGACAGCAGACCACCACGCATATGGCTGACTGGCGTGGGCGGCTGGGAAGGGACGGGAAAAAGGCGGTGGGAACCTTCCCTCTCCAAGAGAGCTTTTAAACAAGCGACCGATACTGCTGGAGCCAGGGGCTGGGAAATTCAGCCCCTCAAAGGTGTCGTTAATGCCGGTGCACACAAATGGCAGGCCCAGAACCTTATAAAAGGCCCTGGAGAGCGAGTCTGGACCAGAGGCACCAGAAAGCTATGCAGCAGTGAGCGCGCGCAGCCACCTCCGGAAGGACACGTCCTGAGTGACATTGGAGGAGGGGGAAGGCCACGCAATTTCATTTTTCACATGGCAAAGGTGCCAGAACATCTCACAGTGCACATGATTACTTCTGCAATTAAAGGGTAAAAAAATTAACAACAGAAAAATATTTTAAATAATTTATCTCCTCAAAAAGACACACACACACATCCACACACAGGTTGTCTCTGGGTTGAGAGATTATTTTCTTCTTTGTGCTTTTGTATTTGCCGAAAGCTCTGAAGTGTATTCTTTCTCAACAGAAAAACGGGGGGGGGGGGGGGGGGGGAGAACAAGCAGTAGGGAGAAAAAACAAAAAAAAAGGAAAGCATACAAACCAAAAGTCCCAACAGAGGAGGGGGAAGGCGTTGCTTTAATCAGAGGGCTGAGTGCTGCGGGCCTTCTGCACAGGACGCCGCTCAGTGCGTGTGGACAGAACCCTCTCGCCCTCCTGCACCCGCCCCTGTCTGCCTGGTCGGAGTCCACCTGCTAGATGGGGAACCCCCTTCATAAGTTTAGGGCCCAACGAGAATCTCTCGGTTTTGGCACAAACGAGAAAGGAGAAAGGATGGACGGTGACGAAGAGGAACCTGGGAGGGCAGGGACTGTGTTCTCAGGAGGGAATGTGACCTCGACTGAGAAGAGGAGAGAGCGACTGAAACCTGAAAGACGTGCGTGGGCAGAGTGGCAACCGTCCCGTGAAAGCCCCCGGGACTGGCCTGCAGGCAGGGTGCGGGGCACGGGAACCCCCACAGGGTGCGCTCAGACCAGAGCCTTTCTCGCGCCAGCAGAAGGGGGGGCGTGAAATGTCACTGGAGGCCAGCGAGGGCAGGGCGGCTTTAGGGATACAAGATCCGAGGAAAAGCAGGGGACCCTGTGTTCGGCATGTGCTGGGCCAGGCCAGGCCACATCTGGACTTTACATCTGGTTCCATTTGCTTCCTGAACAGGAAGCTTACTGAGGCCACCTGGGGGACAACAAGTCATGGGGGCAGAATGGTGACGAAAACAAAGCACCTGGGCTCCCTCTGGGAGCCTCCGTCTAGTGGGGGAGACAGACCACAGATACAGAAGTAAGGAAAAATGATACATAGTAACTGACCTACATGAACTTCCGGAAGTACGAACAGGAGAAATGCTCGTGATTACCTGCATGTGAGGAGCTAACTAAACAGAATACCACGTGGTGTTACGCACTATGACGGGATGGGAATGGGACAGAGAGTGACTAGAATGCTGTTTTAGTTAACAAGAGCTAGGAACAGCTCTCTGGGGAAGAATGAGATAAACGAGTGTCTGTGGTCAACATATTCCAGGCTAAGAGAACAGTCAAAGGCCCTGGGGTGTTCAAGGAAAGCATCCATTCATTCCTCGTTCAACCAATATTTGTTAAGGGGCCATACGGCAGTGGCCAAAGATACAAAGCCACATCCCTGTCCTCGAAGTGCCACAGTATAGTGGGGAGAAAATGCAAGCACAACATCATTATGCTGTGTGTTTTATAAGAAACCCCTGGTGATACGGGAGCTATCAGGGAAGGCTTCCTGGAGGTGGTGCTGAATGAAGTCTTGGGAATGGGGAGTAGACAGGGGAGAAGCAAGAAAGGGGCATTTCAGGCAGCGATGGCAGTGTAAGCAAAAGCATGGAGATGGGACTGAGGCTGGCAAAGCAGCACCTCACTGCCCTTCCAGAGGGACGGGCGGTGACGACAAATTGTAGAGCAGGCAGGAATGAGGATGGAGAGGGAGCTTAGGGCCACGTTCCGTGAGAAGTTCAAGAGCTTTGTTAACAAGGAGAAGGAGAGGCTGACAGGGCACGCAGAGCTCCCGTCACAGGTAGTCACGTGTCGTTAAGGGCAGGGATACAGTCTGAGAAGTGTCCCCAGGTGGTTTTGTTATTGCGTGCACACCTCGATGGCCCAGCCTCCTGCACACCTCGGCCGCATGTTACTGTACTTAATCCCATGGGCGACGCTAAGACACCGCTGAGTGTGTGTGTGTCTAAACATGGAGAAGCACAGTAAAAACGAAAGGCAGAACGCGGTGCACCTGTGTGGGCGCGCACCGTGATGGAGCTCGCAGGACTGGAAGCTGCTCCGGGTGAGGCGGCGAGCGGGTGGGCCTGGGCGTTCCTGCGTGGGACTGCGGACGTCACCAGCTCTCTCCACGAGCCCTCCCCCAGTGCCTCCCAGCAGGGCCAGAACCAGAACCCCGAAGCTGTCCGTGCCGTTCCCTGAACAGAGATGTGGCCTGGACTCGGAAATAGAGGAGAAAACGGCTGGGAAAGGTGTGGGTCTCCCTGAGAGTGAGGGTCAGGAGGGGGTGAGAGGTGGCTGGGGGTCAGAAGGAATAAGAACTCAGTAGCACTGTGGGCACAGCGGCTGGCTGATGGGGATGTGACCTGCGCTCTCAAAATCAGGGTGCTGTGAGCAAGAGGGAACCTATGCCAAGCCCCACAGAAATTGCTCCTGTTACAGAAAAAGATCCCCCTGACCACATATCCTTGCATTTCTTACAGGAAATTCAGCTCCATTTTGGGGCCCCGTCACAGGCTGGTCCTCTGTATGTTAAAACGCTGTTACGGGTGCATGACTGGATCGGAAAAACCGTGACCCAGACCCCCCTCCTGGGTTGTTCTAGGAGCAGGTCTGAAGCCCGAAAGTGAGATTATGGGGAGCAGGACTTGGTGCCCCAAGTGGAACTGAGTCCTGGGGTGCGGTGCACTCTCCCACCGTGGGGCACCCAGTCGAGAGCATGTGTCACCTGCCGGGCTGCACCCACGGGGGCTGAAGGGGCCGGTGGTGACTCAGTCTGGAGACAGGATGCATTCACTCTGGGCCAGGGATGGGGGTACAGAAGAAAGGGGAGCAGATGTGGGGCAGCAGAACACGCCCTCCAGGCAGGAATCCTGGGTTTAGAGCCGCCGCCAGCCCAAGATCCAGGGTGCGAACTGCAAACCCGAAAGGGGGTCAGGCACGCCAGATTTCTGCCCGGCCACTTCCTGCTGACCACAGCATCCCGTAGGCCTCTCCCTGGTGAAGACGCGATTCACGCAGCAGAGTCGAGGATGGCAAGTTTGCAGTCAGTGCCGGGACCCCTGACAGACGAAGTGGGCGGCTCACAGCGCAGGAACGCCAGGGTCTGTGTGCTGCGCCCAGCAGTGTGGACCCCACAGAGGCCCCTGTGAACGGCTAAACTAAACCCGCCAGCTGGGATGGCCGCGCTCCTGTGCTCACCTGGCTGCTTCACCGTCACCTCTGTGCGCCCCGAAACCTCCTCTGCCAGCTTGTACCAAGCATAGTTGGGGCTCAGCAGCCACTCCTCCACGTGGCAGTAGTAGCTGCCACTGTCGCTGACCTCGGCTCTCTGGACGGTGAGGCTGAACAGGCCGCCGGCCGCGTGCCTCTCGAACTGCAGCCTGGCCCTCAGGCCCTCCTCCTCCGCGTAGGTGCCGTACTCAAAGGCGGAGTTGTGCGTGGTTTTGAGGATGAGCTTGCCGTCGGCGTCCGAGGGCTTGTGGACGTACCAGAGCACCGCGAAGTGGGAGTTCTGGCTGGTCTGCGACTTGACGGAGCAGTTCAGCTGGATGGGCCTGTTCTCCACCAGCGTCAGGGTCCTCTTGGATTTGCTCACCTGCAGCTTCGTCACTGCAGAGGAAAGGGGGCCGTTCAGCAAGATGGTCGCACACCCCTGGACACACAGCCCGTCCCAAACCTCTCACCTCCGGGCTCCCAGCCCGGTTTTGCCCCGCACGTTTCCCAGAGGACAGGAAGGGGCTGGCTTCCTCCAAAGCAAGGGCTTGGTGAGAGGACGGCTGCATGTGGCTGGCTTCACCCACAACATCCCTCCCTGTGCCTGCCCCTTGCCCGCCCCTGCTTAGGCCCTCACCAACTCTCCCTGCCTCCTGGCTGCTCCCCTGCCTCCTCCGGCCTCCAGGGAGATCCAGCTAAAGCACGAATCTGCCCACTTCATTTCCCTGCTTGAACAGTCTAATGGTTCCCAGTTGCTTTTAGGTTGTACAGAAAAACCATTCCTCTTCACGGCACAAAGTTCTTCCAGGAGCGGTCTAAACTCATCTCCCAGAACTCGCTCCTCAGGCCCCACACCCCATGCAGTTTCCCCCGCTCCGAGCTCCGGTCTCTGCTCGGCTGTGCTCTCTGCCTGTCTCCTCGGCCGCCTCCTCTCCGACCCTTCTCTCCACTCAGCCAGCAGCCCCTGTCCCTCACCCCTTCCCACGGGACCCCACACGCCGCCTCTGTGCTTCCGCCCAAACCCTTGTCTCTCCTCCGTCCTGGCCTGTGAGGTCCCCAAGGACAGAGATCAAGTTTTCTCTGCAATTATTTAGAGTGCGTCCACCCCGTCCCCTCACGATGCTCAGGCGACCGTCCTGCCTGGAGGACACTGTCCTCACTGCACCCCCAGGGCTGGCTGGGCTCACGTGCCCTGGCTTTAGGAAGTGCTAGGTCAGTGCTTGCTCAGTAAGTGAGGGGGTGGGCAAGCGAAGGCCAGCCCCCAGGAGATCCATGGCCAGCAGGCGGCTAGAGGACACTGGGGTGACCATCCTGGGGGTGGGGGCAGGGGAACAGACTGAGAAGAAAGTGACAAGCAGTGAGACAGCAGAGAGACAACTCTAGCCACCCCTTTCCCCTCGCTGTCCTGCTCTAAAACCAAGAGGGCAGACTCCAGAGTGAACCCACCTGCCACCTTCTAATGAAATGCATTTTACGAAGGTAATTTGAGGTCGCATCCACTCTGTCATTATAGCACATGGCTCTGCTTCCCTCTACCCAGCATCCCCCTTCTGAAAAGGACACAGTTCGAAGTTCCTCTTAGGAAGCTAAGAGGAGGCAACAGGAAAGGCATCACTCCCCCTCCATGCCTCTTCACACTTTGCTTCTCAAGACCGAAGCGCTCACCAGCTGAGAAAGAAGCCCAGGGCAAGACCCCGACAGGGAAGGGGCACCGTGCTTCCTCCTCTGGGCCTGCCCAGAGGGGAGGCCAGGGCAGGTCTGCCTGGCTCGTCTCCTGCACCCCTGCGGGCCCGTCTCTGGGTCCAGACCGAACCCTGAGCCTGTGCGGGTCCTGCCTGGGTCTCCTCTGCCAGCGCAGGCTGCTGGCGTGCCTACAGCTGGTGTGGAAAGACAGCATCAAGGCCTGAGTCCCACGTGCCAAGGCTGCTGCTTAAGAAGCCCAGTAACTCCGGGACGAACCCTCTGAATGGCCTTGAGGGGTCAGCAAGCTGAGGCATGGCCGGATCCAACGCCCAGATCAATTACTGCAAAAGCTACTCTAAGGACACGCCCTGTAAATCAGGAGACACTCCTCACAAAGGGCTGCTGAATGCACAGACGCAGAGACCTTCCCCAGACACCGAGGATGCAGCCAGCACCCACATGAAAGAAACCCCACACCCCAGGCCCCGCCCGCTTGATTCATCTTTTCTCTGAACAAGCCCTGTCTCCTGCCTCGTCCCTTCTGGAGACACAGAGGCCTCCAGGGCACACCGAGGTCGAGGGTGGGGTTTACCAGTAAGCTCCCGAGTTCTGGAAACCCAATTCCCACCAGCTTGCCCATCCGGGTTCCTATAACACTTGAAACAACCGCCCCCTTTCATTCCCTTCCATGCCAATACACCACATGCAAATATCTCTAACAGTGCAAATGACACCACCTGAATTGTCTGGGCCTGGGCCAAAAAAACTAGGTTGTTCCTTGTAGGGCAGAAAAAGCTTTAAAATGTATTATTAATTGGGGCCAGATTATTTTTGCAACTGTTCCTAAGGAAACCTCAATTGCTATAGTAACTGCATATGTTAAACTGGAACCCTATGACTAGACTTCAATTTGGTCACATGGTCTGAGGACAAGAATCCAGGGAAATGTTTCAAAGCATTTCCATTTTTATTTTCCTTCTCCTGTCAAAATATTGTGAAGCGTTGACAAGCCTGAAAGAGAGGCATTTTTGAAATCCGGAGCATGCCTGGCGGGTGGGCGAGGGGTCAGCTCCTAGTCCACACTCTGAATTCCCTCCCTCGCCTCAAGGTCAGGGAGGACCTCTCCCGAAGCCCAGGGGAGACTGCAGGCCCCGGGACTGACTAGGAAGCACTGTCTCGTCTTGCTCTGAGCTGCCCCAGGGGGTCTGCCCCACCCCCTCCTCCTAGGGGAGCCCTGCCCTCTTAAGGTCTGCAGGTAATTTCTTCTGCAAGATTAGAACAATTCTAGTATCTACCTTACATCACAGGAGTATGTGCAGACGACAAGCAACAGTCTCTGAAAAGGGCTTAGCACAAGCCTGGTACATATTGACTCCCAATACTCTTACTGTGCCCATTTCTTTTTGGTTTCTGGGCTCAGCCCCATGTTCAAAGCACGACATTGGACTGCGCACTGTCAAGTGTCAGTGACACACGTCCCACTACAACTGCTGTCCGCAGACCTGCAGCATCGGTGTCAAGCAGTGGTGACAGCGGGGAGCTTCTCAGAAAAGCAGACTGGGAGGCGCCCTCTTCAGGTCCCCTGAACGAGAATCCGCCTTGCGTTGAACAGGATCCCAGGTGACTCCTGTGCGCTCTGAAGCCTGAGAAACCTCGGACGTGGCTGTGTTGAGCGAACGGACTCACCGAGGCTTTGCGGTTGGAGGTGAAGGGAAGACAGCTGAGGCCAGAGGCTTGATGAACCCCCACTGTGGAGCAGGGGGGCCAGGCAGAGGAGGGTGGGGTGGGGCTGGGCTGAGGCCCCTCCTGGCAGCGCATCTCTACCACTCCCGCCCAGCTGCCCCCTGTTTGAGGAAAGGGCCCTTTCCGTCTGCACCTGGAGTCTCCTCCCCAGGCCTCCAGAGGGAACATGGGGGACATGGGAGAACGCGGGGAACGGTGGGTTCTGCGTCTCTGTCACCATAGGGACCAGCGGGCTGAAGACTAGACGGAGGAGCCTGCAGCCCAGGCTGGCAGCTGCTTCCTCAGGAGACCTCCCCACCCTGTGTGTGCACAGCTCGCTCAAAACGCACTTCCTCCGTCAGTGAGGGACCCCCCGACCCTGCAACACGCTGCCTGGCGCTGGCGTCCACGTGTGTTCATCCGATACCTTCATACCCGTGTCCTCCTGCCCCAGCGTGGCCGTGCCAGGGAGGAGTCTGGGAGCCCACAGGTGGAGGACAGGGCCCGTGGGGGAGAGGACGGGCTGGGGGGGGGCTCCTTTCACTCATCTCAACTTAGCGTCTGCCTTTCTCCCAGGGCCACCGGGTCGCCTGGCCTGGGCTGAGCCCTGCCCGGACCCAAGCTCATCCCGACATCACCGCATCTCTCAGAGCCAGGACACACGACTGAGCACCACTTGGCTCTGAGGCAACGTCCTTTTCCTCCCTCTTAAAAAATTTTTAATTTTAACTTTTAAATTCTTTTCTGTATTCCTATGCACCCAGCCCCCACCCCTTCGACAACCAACAGCTTGTTCTTTATAGCTAATGTGTTTCTGCTTTATTCTGTTGATACTTTTTTTAAGGTTCCGCATGTAAGGGACATCAACAGTATTTGTCTTTCCCTGTCTGACTTAGGACATGTCCCTTTGCATAATATTCTCTGGGTCCATCCGCGTTATTGAATGGCAAGATTCCGTGCCTTCCTGTGGCTGAGTCCCACTGCACTGCACACACAGACCACATCTTCTTGCCTCCATGCATCCATCAGTGGGCACTTGGGCTGCGTTTCTATCCCGGCTCTTGTAAATAATAACGCAATGAACACAGGGCTACAGATCAGTGTTTTTGTCTTCTCTGGGGGAATACCCAGCAGGGGGCTTGCTGGGCCGAACGGCAGCCCCCACCCTGCCTGCACTGACGTACAACCTCGCTGACCGCCTGCGGGGTCCCCGCTCCCCCTGGCCCACACTTGTTATGCACTGATTGACTCAGGACGGTAATTTTCCGAAGGCCTCTTCTTTCCTACTAAGTGACGTGCATCCGAAGGGCAGGGACTGCGACCCAAGCGCATGCTAATCAATTTAATAAATGAATGACTGAATAAATGCATGACTGATGTTTTCTGGGAGGTACGGGAATGTAGAGGAAAGGCATTCAATCCCGACTGTGACGGCAGGGAGAGACCTTTTCACAAAGGAGGTGACTTCTGAGCTGGGCCCTGAAAAACAGATTGAGTAGGTGGGCCCTGGGCGGAGGGGGAGACGGCAGGGGCACCCCGGAGAGAGGGGCAGGCGAGCCAAGGTGAGGCCTTCTGTGAACGCCGTATTCGGGGTGCAGCAAGTGGCCACGTGCAGGAGGTGCAGTTAGGAAGGGGCGCCTCTGCCAGACTGCCAGGGGCCCAGTGTGCATTCGGGGTCTGGCTGCCTGTGCCTCTCAGGGAGCCACCCCGGGCCCCCGCAGCACTGCTGTCCCTGGGGACTTACAGTCCTGCAGCTGGGGCACCTCCCTCAGCCCCCTGCTCTGCTTCCTCCCCAGGATCACGCCCTATTTACAGCCCTAATCATCTCTTTTCAGACCTTACACTTGGCCTGAGTCCAAGTGTCTTGGCCTCCAGCCTCAGCCTCCGCCTGGAGGGGCTTCTGAAGCTGCGAACAGGAGCCTGCCACTCCCAGCTCAGAGCCACGGGTGTGGGCAGTCTTCTGTCACCAGGAATGCAGCGCACCATCCGAG